CAAGACACCTCTTTTAATCATCAAAACACATTATCAAGGTTGAGCCACTTACCCAAAGCTTAAAACAGAACAGAAGGTTGCTCTTGGAGCTCACAACCAGCTCCCAAGATTCTGACTTCCCAAGGAAAACGAAAATGATGTTCAAGGTTGGTTCTTTCACCTCAAAGGTCACTACTTGGACCTCCAAATGCCATGACCATGGCTTCCCAACACCCAAACCACACAAGGTCAGCACCCTCACCAACTCACAGTGGCTGGAAACTCAGAACAAGGCCACCAACACACTCCCAATGCCCACTTTCACTCGCCACATGTGTTCAGGAGAAGTTTTCATGAAGGAATATGCCTCAAAGCTCAAGAAATGGAGGAAGGAAGGCAATGGAGCAATGAGGGAATGTTGGTTAGCCACCAAAGTCACGTATGAAGAGTATATGGCCTAGGGTTTTGTGCAGAAATGTTATATATATAGCTCACTTAAACCTTAACACACAGTACTAACGTTAATTGCTACGCTTAGCATTTTATTCCCAAACTCAGGATTCTGAACCTACTCAATTTTACAGGATTTAAAATATTTTTCTTATATTTTTCGCAGCACGTTTTCGGTAGGCGCTTTTTCCATAGCCAGTATCAGTTCTGGCACCAGTTCTCATTATTTTAACTTGAAAATTGTTTTACAAGTCCTACATATTATTCCAGGAATATCCATGCACTTATTATAATTTTCTGGGATACTTCACCGGTACGCAATTATACCGGGTAGCAGAACCGGTATCTTCACTTTTCGTCCGAAAAGCGACTTTCAGCATTATAAATCGCTTTCTATATTTATCTAAGCCTCATAATAAATATTAGGGTCAATTATGGAATTATTTCCTAATTCTCACTTCTAATTAATTAATTTCTTTAATTAACGGTGCAGGTTCTTACATTCCCCCCACTTTTTTAGGATTTTGTCCTCAAAATCAGAAACATACATCTCCCGAAACTCGGGGTACTGCTGGAGAAGCTCGTCCTTTCGCTTCCAAGTACACTCCTCCGGAGTTCTTCCAGTCCACTGCACTTTGACCATCGGAATGGTCTTTCTCCTCAGCTGCTTCTCACCACGATCGAGAATCTTGAGTGGTCCGACGAGAGTTTTCAAGTTCTCCCGAACCTCCACATCGTCCGGTTGCACCACGTGCGAAGGATCCGCTACATACTTCCGAAGCTGAGACACGTGAAACACGTCGTGGATGTTGGCCAAGTTCGAAGGCAAGGAAAGCCGGTAGACAACAAGTTCTACTTTACCAAGGATCTGGTATGACCCAATAAACCGTGGGCTCACCTTCCTCACTCCGAGTGCCTGTCCAACACCGGTGACAGGTGAAAGTCTCAAACACATGCTCACCCTCACTGAACTCCAGTGAACGATGCTTGACATCGTAGTAACTTTTCTGGCGATTCTGCGCCTGCTTCAGCTTCTCTCTGATCATCTGGATTTGCAGGGTGGTATCTTGGACAAAGTCCAAGCCAAAAAGCTCCTTATCTCTAACCTCAGACCAGCAGGTAGGAGTCCGACACCTCCTACCATACAACGCCTCGTAGGGCGCCATGCCCAGGCTAGCATGAAAGCTATTGTTGTAAGAAAATTCAACCAATGGAAGGTACATATCCCATGCCGAGCCCTGCTCCAACGTGCAGGCCCGCAACATGTCCTCCAAGGTCTGGATGGTCCTCTCAGTCTGTCCATCAGTCTGAGGGTGATAAGCGGTACTCAATCTCAACTGCGTACCGAAAGCCTCCTGCAGCGCCTCTCAGAACCGAGATGTGAACTTCGGGTCCCTATCACTGATGATACTCTCGGGCACCTCATGAAGCCTCACAATCTCGCGAACATAAAGCTTGGCCAACTGCTCTGTGGTGAAGCTCACCTTCACTGGAAGAAAATGGTCAGACTTCGTCAGTCTGTCCACGATGAGCCAAATAGAGTCACAACCCGCCTGAGTCTTAGGCAAACCCACAACGAAGTCCATGGAAATGCTCTCCCATTTCCATTCCGGAATCTCAAGAGGTTGAAGCTCACCAGACGGCTTCTGGTGTTCAATCTTCACCTTCTGGTAGATCAAACACTTGGACACAAAAATGACAACATCCTTCTTCATGCCCGGCCACCAGAAGTTCTTCTTCAGGTCTTGATACATCTTTGTAGCACCAGGGTGGATAGAGATTTGGCCCTTATGGGCCTCTGCCATAACCTCTTCGGTCAACGAACCTCGAGGAACCACGATCCTCTTCTGGAACAACAGGAGTCCATCCTCATTCCAAGACACACTGTCTTGGTTCTTCACGTAGTCCAGGCACTCTCACTGCACTTGTGCCTCTTTGATCCTTTCCAACAGCTCATTCACAACATCTGCTGCTTCCATCTCGAAAAGTGAACCCTTACCCGGAGAGATCACTGCCAGATTTCGGAACTTCTCCACCACATCAAAATTACAAAGCAATAAACTGGATAGGCTCCCAGATTTTCGGCTCAAAGCATCCGCTAGCATATTGGCCTTGCCAGGATGGTACCTCAGCTCAAAGTCGTAATCCTTTAGGAACTACATCCATCTCCTCTGCCTCATGTTCAGCTCTTTCTGGTCGAAAAGATACTTCAAACTCTTGTGGTCACTAAACACCACAAACTTCAAACCAAAAAGATAATGCCTCCAAATCTTGAAAGCAAACACAATGGCCGCCAACTCCAAGTCATGAGTCAGATAGTTCTCCTCATGGGGCTTCAGCTGCCTCGAAGCATAAGCACAACTCTACTAGTCTGCATCAAAACACAGCCCAGCCCCTTTCCAGAAGCATCACAGTAAAGCTCAAACTGCTCATCAGGATCAGGAAGGATCAACACAGGTGTGGTAGTCAATCTCTCCTTCAACTCCTGAAAGCATTCCTCACACTCGTGAGTCCACACAAACGGAGTCTCCTTACGAGTAAGGCGAGTCAACGGCAAGACCATCTTGGAGAATCCCTCAATGAACCTCCTGTAGTACCTGACCAAACCCAAGAAACTCCTAACTTCAGAAACAGTTTTAGGCCTCGCCCAATCCATCACTGCCTCTATCTTGTTGGGATCCACTGCAACTCCCTCAGCAGAAATTACATGCCCAAGGAACTTCACGGACCTGAGCCAACACTCGCACCTGGAAGGCTTCGCATATAACTTCTTCTCTTTCAGCACTAGCAGCACAACTCTCAGATGCTAATCATGCTCTTCCTCCATCTTGGAGTAAATCAAGATATCATCAATGAAGACGATCACGAACTTATCCAGGTACGGCTGGAAAATCCGGTTCATGTAATCCATGAACACTGCGGGTGCATTTGTGAGTACAAAAGGAATCACCAAATACTCAAAGTGACCGTATATCGAACGAAACACGGTCTCAGGGACATCCTCCTGCTTCACCCAAATCTGATGGTATCCGGACCGGAGATCAATCTTCGAATACACGCAAGCACCCCTGAGCTGATCCAGCAAATCATCAATACGCGGAAAGGGATACTTGTTCTTGGTTGTCACCTTGTTCAGCTGCCTGTAGTCGGTGAACAATTGCATTGTCCCATCTTTCTTCTTCACAAAGATGACCGGAGCTCCCCAAGGAGGCACGCTCAGTCGGATGAAATCTTTCGCTGAAAGATCCACAATGTGCTTCTTCAGCTCTGCCAACTCCTGTGGCGACATCCGATATGGAGCTAATGAAATCGGCCCCACACCAGGCAACAAATCTATGGAGAACTCTATCTCCTTCTGTGGTGGAAACTCAGGAAACACCTCGAGGAATTCCCTCACCACAGGAATGCCAGCGATATCCTCTTGTGTCCCACTCACCAAACCTCCCAACATGACATAGCCAAATGCCCTTGCTCTCAAGGCTCTCCTAGCCTGCAGCAAGGAAATATGCGGCGAGGAACTGGCTGTGGATTCACACGGAGACATCACCACACGCTTGGCATAACAGTCAATCATCACACAATTTCTGGACAACCAATCCATGCCTAGAATAATCTCCAAGTTGGCCATCAATCCTATCAGATCCACCTAGAAGTCACGACCATCCCACTGAAACGCCACATCGCGTTGAACAGTGTAGAATCACACCTTTCTCCGGTGGCGGTGGTCACCCACAACGGTGGAGAAAGCACAGACATGGGCAACTCAAGCCCCACAACAATCGGGGTAGCAATGAAAGAATGCGTAGCCCCAGAGTCAAACAAGACATCAACAAGCGAACCACCAATGGAAACAGTACCTCTGACAAGGTTCAGAGCTCTGTCCGACTGCTGCCGATCTAAGGTGTACACGCGTCCAGTAGAAGGTGGCACTGTAGGTGCCGCTGGTGGTGGAAGGGTAACCATCTGCAATGGAGCTGCCTGAACTGCTGCAGCTCTCGCCGTCGACGACGAACAATCTCTGGAGTAGTGGCCCTCCTTTCCACACTGAAAGCAAATCAACTGGCCTGAAGAACACGACCCAAAATGAGTCTTCTCACATCCCGAACATCTGGGAGAAGGAGGTCTCGCTTACTCCCCTGAGCGGAAGACCTCTTAAACTGACCAGGAGCCTGCCTAGCTGCAAACTACTTTCCCTTACCTTTGTTCCCAAACTTCCTGTCCCGCCAAGAAGTGGAACTACCCACTACCTTCCTCTCAGCGACCTTGGCCCTCTTGGCCTTACTCGCAGAAGTCCTCGATATCCCGACACTGTTGCACCAGTGTCCCAGAGTCTCTAGAAGCATAACCAGCAAGATAACCAATGTAACACCCCGTGTATACCCGGTTTGTTAACATATTATCGTATTAAGCTGCGCTTAATTAAAAATGCGAAATATCTTTTTCTTTTCATTTATGACGTCATTATACTTAGTCAAGTTGATTACTTAATCAATTTCATAAAAATATCACCTGTATGTAAATTGCAAAAAGACATCTAACTGAAATACCTCATAATAAAGATAAAGTGAGTATCTATGTCACGGATCTACTACACGTAGTTCGGACAATATCCTGATACATTAATACAAATCCAAATAAAACAAGACAATAAACAAGTCTATGTGGCATGGACAATCCCCATGCTCACCAAATCAACAACAATACCAACAGCGTCTCAACAAGATAATCCATAACATAAATGAAGCTAAAAGCATAATAGCAGCAAGCATAACCAGCATCCAACAAGTCAGCATATAATAACAGCAATATCTAACTCAGCTCCGGCCTCCTGCCGCCTGAGGTCTCAACCCCAACATTACCTGAACCTGAAATAAGCGCCCCAAACGTGGGGTGAGATCTCTAACAGAAATCTCAGTAAGGCAAGGGGTCCTCAAGGATCTTCCACCCCAAGCCACTTACATGTGCAATATAAGTTCAAAAGCAGTAATTCAATATAAGTTCTCAAACTTATGCAGTGCAACAGATATTCATGCCATGTGTGTTGATACTATTCTACTGGCCAGAGAAATGCAGGAATACGTCTATCTTCTACATGTAGTACAAGGAACACCACTTGCACCTCACCCACAGCCTCACCATATTATATGTACCACATACTCAGGCTTACCGTATAGGTGGAACACCACATGCATATCAAAAAGGCACTAGCATATAACAGCTCAACAACATTTCCTAAACATCAAAAGCATGTAACACAGCATGCATATAACCATATCCCCATGGGACATGGTGGAACCACAACATGGCTAAACCGAGGACACAAAAGCTTACCTGTACCCGTATGCCCCTCCGACTCGAACTGGGTATCACACGGGTCCACACCACAAATAGAATTCAATGCACTCACAGATCTGGTTCAACGACCATCATAGTATCAATATACATATTCTAAAATTCCAAGGCAATGAGGTATTATTTTCTTTTTAAGACATACCATTTAACTTATTTAATTTAAGATGATTATTATCTTATAAATATACATATATATATAATCATTTCCAAGACCACAATTTCAAAAAGAACGCTCTGACTCCCTCGCTAAAGGCTAAGCAATGTTTTATATATATATTGTCTCCCTGGGAAAAAGCATCGATATATATATATATATATATAAACGAAACGAAAGCTTACAAGGCTCCCTGTACTAGTAAACAAACTTATATATAACAACTAGTAAATATATATATAAACGAAACGAAAGCTTACACGGCTCCGTGTACTAGTAAACAAACTTATATATAACAACTAGTAAACAAACTTTTATATATATATATATATATATATATATATATATATATATATACGGCTCCCTGTACGAAAGTAAACAAACTTTATATATATATATATATATATATATATATATATATATATATATATATATATATAAGCAACTTGGACATGAATCTTATCCATCTTCACTAACAGTGACCGATTTCCTACATAAAGTTTCAAACTATTCAATTTAAAAACACATTGGTCGTGTAATTGATAATGACGTCATAATTGAAATTGATTAAGTAATCAACTTGGTAATTGATAATGACGTCATAATTGAAAAGAAAAAGAATATTCCGCATTTTTAATTAAGCGTAGCTTAATACAATGTAATGATAACACTACCGGATATATACGGGGTGTTTTAGTCCACACCACAAATAGAATTCAATGCACTCACAGATCTGGTTCAACGACCATCATAGTATCAATATACATATTCTACAATTCCAAGGCAATCTGGTATTATTTTCTTTTTAAGACATACTATTTAACTTATTTAATTTAAGATGATTATTATCTTATAAATATATATATATATATAATCGTTTCCAAGACCACAATTTCAAAAAGCACGCTCTGACTCCCTGGCTAAAGGCTAAGCAACGTTTTATATATATATTGTCTCCCTGGGAAAAAGCATCGACATATATATATATATATATATATATATATATATATATATATATATATATATATAAACGAAACGAAAGCTTACAAGGCTCCCTGTACTAGTAAACAAACTTATATATAACAACTAGTAAATATATATATATAAACGAAACGAAAGCTTACACGGCTCCGTGTACTAGTAAACAAACTTATATATAACAACTAGTAAATATATATATATATATATATATATATATATATATAAACGAAACGAAAGCTTACACGGCTCCCTGTACTAGTAAACAAACTTATATATAACAACTAGTCAACAAACTTATATATATATATATATATATATATATATATATATATATATATATATATGGCTCCCTGTACGAAAGTAAACAAACTTTTATTTATAATCTTATCCATCTTCACTAACAGTGACCGATTTCCTACATAAAGTTTCAAACTTTTCAATTTAAAAACACAGTGGCCGTGTAAGTTGACAAAGCAAGCGATACGAAGTGACAAAAATAATATGGCGATCTACTGGAGAAAAAATAGCGCACATTGATTTCACAAATGATATTTCAACAGTAATATATAACAATAATTTACAAAGGGGATAGTTAAATTTACCTAGGATTCTTTTGAGAACAGAAAAATGAAAGCTTGAGAGGTTTAGAAAGCACCCAAATCTTCAAAAATGGGTTCTCCTTCAACAAAACTAAAGCTTTAATGGATGGGTGGTGTTTCAATTGAAGACAGGAAGAAAAGATGAAAATGTTAGAGGCTTTCCTAGAAATAAAGCTAAGACCCAAAAAAAACTCCAAAGGGCCACACTCAGCCGCTGAGTTTTAAAATTAAATGCTAGGGTTTTGATTCCTTTTATATTTATATAGTCTCTTAAGTTAAACTAGTAGTATTAGTTTAATTAGTTCCGCTCTTTGCTTAGCTCCAAAATTTTAGATTCTTAGCCTAGATATTTTTCTAGGAATTTTCATATATTTATTTTACTTTTTCGCAACACTTTTCTGGTACGCGTTTTTCACGCTGACAGTATTAGTTCTGTCACAAGTTCTAATTATTTTAACTTGAAACTCGTTTTACAAGTCCTATATATTATTCTAGTAATATCCGTGCACTTATTATAATTTTCCGGGATACTTCATCGGTACGCATTTATACCGACTAGCAGAATCGATATCTGCACTTTTCTTCCGAAAAACGTCTTTCAGCTTTCTTACTCACTTACTATAATTATTAGAGCCTCATAATAATTATTAGGGTCAATTATGGAATTGTTTCCTAATTCTCATATTTAATTAATTAATTTCCTTAATTAACTGTGCGAGTTCTTACATTCACCCCACATTTTTAGGATTTTGTCCTCAAAATCAGAAACATACCTGTCTCGAAACTCGGGGTACTGTCGGAGAAGCTCGCCCTCACTCTCCCAAGTACACTCCTCAGGAGTTCTTCCGGTCCACTGCCTTGACCATCAGAATGGTCTTGCTCCTCAACTGCTTCTCGCCATGATCGAGAATCTTGAGTGGTCCGACGTGAATCTTTAAGTTCTCCCGAACCTCCACATAATCAGGTTGCACCACGTGCGAAGGATCTGCTATGTACTTCCGAAAATGAGACACGTGAAATACGTCGTGGATGTTGGCCAAGTTCGGAGGCAAGAAAAGCCGGTAGGCAACAGGTCCTACTCTACCAAGAATCTGGTATGGCCCAATATATCGCGGGCTCAGCTTCCTCACTCCGAGTGCCCGTCCAACACCGGTGACAGGTGAAAGCCTCACAAACACGTGCTCACCCTCACTGAACTCCAGTGGATGATGCTTGACATCATAGTAGCTTTTCTGGCGATTCTGCGCCTGCTTCAACTTTTCTCTGATCATCTCTATCTGCTGGGTAGTATCTTGGACAAAGTCCAAGCCAAAAAGCTCCTTGTCCCCAACCTCAGACCAACAAGTATGAGTCCGACACCTCATACCATACAGTGCTTCGTAGGGCGCCATGCCCAGGCTAGCATGAAACCTGTTGTTGTAAGAAAACTCAACCAACAGAAGGTACCTATCCCATGTCGAGCCCTGCTCCAACGTGCAAGCATGCAACATGTCCTCCAAGGTCTGGATGGTCCTCTCAGTCTGTTCATCAGTCTGAGGGTGATAGGCGGTACTCAATCTCAACTGCGTACCAAAAGCCTCCTGCAGCGCCTCCCAGAACCGAGATGTGAACTTCGGGTCTCTATCACTGATGATACTCTCGGGCACCCCGTGAAGCCTCACGATCTCGCGAACATACAGTTTGGCCAACTGCTCTGTAGCGAAGCTCACCTTCACAAGAAGAAAATAGGCAGACTTCGTCAGTCTGTCCACAATAACCCAGATAGAGTCACAACTCACCTGAGTCTTAGGCAATCCCACCACGAAATTCATGGAAATACTCTCCCATTTCCACTGTGGTAATTCAAGAGATTGAAGCTCACCGGACGGTTTCTGATGCTCGATCTTCACCTTCTGGCAAACCATACACTTGGATAAAAAAACAACAACATCTTTCTTCATGCCCGGCCACCAGTAGTTCTTCTTCAGGTCTTGATACATTTTAGTAGCACCAGGATGGATAGAAAATTGGCCCTTATGGGCCTCTGCCATAACCTCTTCGGTCAACAGACCTCGAGGAACCACAATCCTCTGCTGAAACAAAAGAAGTCCATCCTCATTCCAAGACACACCGCCTTGGTTCTTCACGTAATCGAGGCACTCTCTCTGAACTTGTGCCTCTTTGATCTTTTCCAACAGCTCATTTACAACATCTGCTGCTTCCATCTCCAGAAGTGCACCCTCACACGGAGAAGTCACTACCAGGTTTCAAAACTTCTCAACCACATCAAAATAACCAAGTAACAAGCTGGATGAGCTCTCGGGTTTCCGGCTTAAAGCATCAGCTACAACATTGGCCTTGCCAGGATGGTACTTCAACTCGAAGTCGTAATCGTTTAGGAGCTCCATCCATCTCCTCTGCCTCATGTTCAGCTCTTTCGGGTCGAAAAGATACTTCAAACTCTTGTGGTCACTGAACACCAACTTCAAACAATAAAGATAATGCCTCCAAATCTTGAAAGCAAACACAATAGCAGCCAACTCCAAGTCATGAGTAGGGTAGTTCTCCTCATGAGGCTTCAACTGCCTCGATGCATAGGCAATCACTTTGCCCAACTGCATCAAAACATAACCTAGCCCCTTTCCGGAGGCGTCAGTGTAAAGCTCAATCTCAAGCGCAGGATCAGGAAGGACCAACACATGTGCAGTAGTCAGTCTCTCCTTCAACTCCTGAAAACAATCCTCACACTCGTGAGTCCACACAAATGGAGTCTCCTTCCGGGTAAGGCGAGTCAAAGGGAGAACCATCGTGGAGAAACCTTTGATGAACCTCCGATAGTAACCTGCCAGACCCAGAAAGCTCCTCACTTCCGTAACTGTCTTGGGCCTCTCCCAATCCAGTACGGCCTCGATCTTGTTCGGATCCATTGCAACTCCTTCAGCAGAAATCACATGCCCAAGAAACTTCACAGACTTGAGCCAAAACTCACACTTTGAAGGCTTCGCATACAACTTCTTCTCCTTCAGCACTTGCAGAACAATTCTCAGATGCTCTACATGCTCCTCCTTCGTCTTGGAGTAAATCAAAATATGGTTAATGAAGACGATCACAAACTGATCCAAGTACGGCTGGAAAATCTGGTTCATGTAAATCATGAACACAGCAGGTGCATTGGTGAGTCCAAACGGAATCACCAAATACTCAAAATGGTCGTATCTCGAGGGAAAAGCGGTCTTAGGGACATCCTCCGGCTTCACCCGAATCTGATGGTATCCGGACCGGAGATCAATCTTGGAATACACGCAAGCACCCCTGAGCTGATCCATTAGATCATCAATCTGCGGAAGTGGATACTTGTTCTTGATCGTCACCTTGTTCAGCTGCCTGTAGTCAGTGCACAATCGCATTGTCCCGTCTTTCTTCTTCACAAAGATGACCAGTGCTCCCCACGGAGATACACTCGGTCGAATGAAATCTTTCGCGGAATGATCCTCAATATGCTTCTTCATCTCCGCCAACTCCGGTGGCGACATCCGGTACAGAGCTAAAGAAATCGGCCCCACACCAGGCAACATACATGGGCAACTCAAGCTCCACAACAATCAGGGTTGCAACAAAAGAATGCGTAGCCCCGGAGTCAAACAATACATCAACAAATGAACCACCAATGATAACTATACCTCTAACAAGGTTCGGAGCTCTATCCGACTGCTGACGATCCAGAGTATAAACTCGCCCAATAGACGGTGGCACTGCTGGTGCCGAAGTAGGTGGAAGGAGAACCATCCGAAGTGGCACTGCCTGAACTGCAGTAGCTCTCGCCGTCGACGACGGACAATCTCTAGAGAAGTGGCCCTCCTTGCCACATTGGAAACAAATCAACTGGCCGGTAGAACACGGTCCAAAATGAGTCTTCCCGCATCCCGAACACCTACGAACAGGAGGTCTCGCTGCACTCCCCTGAGTAGAAGTCCTCTTGAACTGATTCGGCGCTTGCCGAGCCGCCATCTGCTTTCCCTTGCCCTTGTTCCCAAACTTCCTGTCTCTCCAAGAAGTGGAACTACCAGCTACCTTCGTCACCTCAACAACCTTGGCCCTCTTGGCCTTACTCGAGTTGTAAAAGTCCTCGATATCTCGACACTGCTGAACCAGTGTCCCAAAGTCTCTCGAAGCAGAACCAGCAAGGTAACCAGCAATATCCTCACTAAGTCCCCTACGGAACTTAGCAGCCAAGAATGTCGGAGTAGGCCTCGCCATCCAGAAATGTGCAAACTTCACCAGCTGATTAAACTGGGCCAGGTACTCGTCAACAGACAACGAGCCTGAACCAACCTGTCAAACTCCCTATGCTTCCTCTCTTGTGTGTCATAAGGGAAGTAGTGACCCAGAAAAAAATCCTCGAAGAATGGCCACGTCATCACACGACCCTGCATCTCGAAGACATGAGAAGTGTTCGTCCACCACTCGTGGGCATCGCCCTCCAGCATATAAGTAGCGAACATCAGCTTCTGCGGATCCGTACACTGCATGACCCGGAAGATCTTGTCCAGCGCCTAAAGCCATTGCACCGCAGCAATAGGGTCATAAGACCCATCAAAGGTAGGTGGCTTATGCTTACGGAAAGCATTCAGCCGGCGATCAATCCCATCTCTGTCCTCAGCAGGCTCCACAAAGGGTTCCAACACTCCAGTGACATGAGTAGCACTACCAACGTGACTCAGGGTCTCATCCTGAACACTAGGTGGAGGCGGCGGTGGTGGTGGCGGTGGCGGTGGAGGTGGTGGCGGTGGGAACTGACCAACAGCAAGACCAGCTCTCATCTCCTCCAACATGACCCTCATCATAGTCATGTTCGCCAACCTGTTTGGCTCAAGAGCATCCTCTGTGGCCTTCTGGTTCGCTTCTCTAACAGCGTCCATCATTTCCACGTTGGCCAATCTAGTGGCCTCCTGCTTCTCAGCCAATGCAGTCAGGGTTGGGTCGGGTTGACCCTCAGCAGTCTCACGTGTTCTCCTGGATCCTACCATGACTCTGCACAAGTTACACAAATTATGAGTTGATCAGGCCCACGCAATGTGATCACATATGCATTATCATAATAAAATCCAATGGAATAAACACACAAGACAGACACAACCAAACATCTTAAGTTATACAATACATACAAGCTTTTCCCTAGAACCTTTGCTCTGATACCATAAAATGTA